AAAGGAACCGAAGCTGGTGAGGGGAGCCAGAGATGGTAGTAAAGGTGGGCAGCCTGGAGGAGGGCAAGGAGACAGAAGCAAAGAGAAGGGAGCTAAAGAGGCAGCTGTTGGCCAAGGGCTCAGAGCTCCGGTGTTGCACGTGCCTAAGGAGAAGCAGGGCTAGGAGAGATGGAAGGAGGTAGAGACATCTGCTGTGTCACCACCTGCTATTTCGCCCAGCCAGTTCTCCCTCCTGACACCACGCCTGCTTTCAGACAGCAAGTTCTTGGTCTCATCTTGCCCTACAGTCACGAGTGCCCCACCCCCCCAAGCCCTGTTGATTCCACTCTGACACTCTCATCAGCTGCGCACACTCTACTCCAGTCACCCTTACCTTTCCCTTCATTATCCCTCTTCTGGGCAATTTCACTGTGGCACCAAAGCGACTGCCTCCTGGCCTCCTCAGTGTTCCTTCTCCACTCCATCCTCTGCACTTGTGCCAGATGACTCTTCCCAAAGCTGAGCTCATGGTGTCCTGTGCTCCAAGACCCTTCATGGCTCCCCGTTACCTACTGATCAAAGGTCGAAGCTTTGACGGCAGTCAAAGCTCCTATTTGCAGCTTTATCACCACAGCAGCCCCTGCAGTGCCCAGATGGCTGCAAACTCAGCTGTTCTCCCTACTTGTCCTGGTTACTCTTAGGCCACTCGTCGCATTCTGCATTAGACCCAAGACAACTCTTTATTTCCCTGCGAGCCGTACTAGCGCCCCCTGCTCCTGGGGATTGCATCTCTGTCTTGTACAACTCTGGGCTTGTGACAGTCTTCTCTGAGATGTTTGTTCATTAAGGCTGCTCCTGTGGGTGGGACTGGAGTCCCTCCTGGAAGGGGTGGCCGAGCAATTAGAGGCCATGGGAACTCAGACAAAAAGGAGACCTAGGCCCAGCAGGAAAGGGAACCCCCTTCCCTTCATGGCTTTTCTTGGGCTGGAATGTGAGGAGCGAGCAGGTGCTGGAGAGGACTCCTAAGTGGTGAAGACGGCCGCTGGCTACAGGAGGAACCGAGAGGGCCAGCACTAGAAGGGATGCAGGCCAAGGATGACAAGTTTATCGCCTTCCCTTCTCTGTGCACACATTTACTAAACACCTGCCCGTACCAAGTGCTGCGTGCCAGCCGGGGTGGGCTGGCAAGCTGGTGAGAAAAAGCCCTTATTCAGAGCATTTGTCTATTTCTGAGGTTAACTATTCCCACCATTGCCGATTTCAAGCTAGCAACATGACAGTACTGAAGGCGAAGCTGGGAAGAAACGTGCGGTCTGCTATGGGAAGGTCGGTGCAGGGGCCGGCCCCAGCACACCACTGGTGGGGACGGAGCCATGAATAAGAGGGTCAAGTAGGTCAAGCCATGGAGTTTGGTCTAACGGCATTACATTACTGTTTTACTTCCATGTCTTCCCTCATGGTCTCCTATGAACTCAGGCCAGAAAGGGCAGAAGTCACATCTCACACTAGGCTATTTCCCCCACAGCACCAGGCAGGGTGCTCTGCTCACAGGACACACTGCAGACTGGGTGGCAGATCGACCTTGTGGGGCAGGGAGAGGAGGATTATCTGCCGCCAACTCCAGAGGAGTCAATCAACCACAAGCCACAGGTCCGCTTTGAGTCAGCCTTTGGTAAACTTACACAGCTGCAGGTCTATCTCAAGCCTTCTGCACCCTCTGGTCCTTCTTCCCACCTTCCCCGCACCCTTGCCCGTGGCTGGTTCTCAGGCCTGCCCTCAGCTGTGACTCTCCACCCTTGCTAAGGCCTTTGCAAGTAGGTTCTCTGACCACCAAACTGTGTGAAGGGTAAGACTCATCCCTGGCTTTTCAAGGAGGTCTGAGGCCTCCCTCCACCCTCCCCTACCTCCAGAAAAGGTTTAGGTCTCTGGCTTAACCTGAGATGTGAAAGAACGATGTGTGGATTCTGGTTACTCTCGAGCCTTCCAGGATGGCAGAGAGAGAGAGAGAGAGAGAGAGAGGAGAGGGGCATGTGCCAGGTACCAAGGCGATGCATACCATGCTCTTGTAGCCTGTCTGGCTGCACTCCCACGCAGGAAAGGCAGCTGCCACCCTCTTCCACATGGAGAGCAAAGCCAGAGGTGTCTCTTAGTTCTTGCACTGGCATCATAATGGGACTGTCCCTGGGCTGGTCAACATGGGAATCTACTTCCGTTTCTTTTCTTTCTCTTTTTTAATGTTTAGTTTTGAGAGAGAGAAAGAGGGAGAGAGAGAGAAGGAGACCCAAGATCCAAAGTGGGCTTCAGGCTCTGAGCTGTCAGCACAGAGTCTGATGTAGAGCTCAAACCCAGGAGCCATGAGATCATGACCTGAGCTGAAGATGCACACTTAATCGACTGAGCTACCGAGGCGCCCCGATCTGCTCCCATTTCTAAGAGAGCTGGAACGGCACTTTCTCCCCCAGCCATGGACCCAGTTTTTAATGAGCGGGGCTGGACGAGGCACAGGCCCCATGGATTAGGCTCCTTCTCTCCACCCACTCTCCTCATTTTTCAATATTCTCCCCACAGAGCCCACAACACTTCAAAGATCAAGGATTTTCTCTAGCTCCAGTGTCACAACCGTAGCAGCAAGCCCAAAATATCCCCACGCATAAACACACATTTGTCCCTGCTCCAAGAGGCAGGCAGAACTAAGTGCCAGCAAAAACTATGCTATTTCCTTTCAGGCATTTAGGAAACAACATCCGCTCATCCTCACACGTTGTGCGTCGCACAGGTCAGAAGCAGCAGTACCTTCGCACACAACAGACACAACTATCCTTAAATAAAGTTAAATAAAACCTTCTTAACATAACAATGGGTTGGAGATGCAGTGTTAGGGGGACATTGAAGGCCAGCCAGTGCTTGGAATAAGGCATCATCGTTAAAAAAAAAAAAAAAAAGGAAAGAAAAAGAAAAGAAAAGAAAACAAAGAGAAACAGAAAACACACAGAAGGATGTAGGCCAGTCAGTCACCAGATTCAATCCAAAGTTAAGACAAGAGTCCTGGGTTTTGAAGCTTTATAGCATCTGAAAAAAAAATCAATTTTTTTATTCTAAAATAACACTCTGATCTACAAATGATTACATCTCAAGTCACAGTCGTGTGCACGGACAGTTACAGAGCACTGTACTCAAGTGGCATTGCCTGACTGCAGATGTCACCCCAAAGACATGAAAGCCCAAGCACATGCCATGATCACGTGAATGTGGTTGACACTGGGGTGGGGCGGGAACATTTTCCTATTTACTTCTCAATGCCAAAGTCACAGTGTGCACGGGGCAACAATATAAACTTCGGGACTCAGAACAAGTGCGAAAACCAGTTCCCACAAAACTAACACCACTTCTATTTGTTTGGCGCTTCACAACCTTCAAAACTCAAAAGCATGGCTCATCCAGCCTCATGAAGATCCAGGGGCGGGGGGGAAGGTACCACCATCTCCCAGCCAATCCACGTATCTGGTGAGAAGACAGCCATGGGTGGACCTTCCAGTTTAGCCCACAGAGCCCAACTCCCTTCCTGCCTCTCCTTCTACATCCCTTACCCAAAGGAGTTCTCCTAGAGAAGGGAAGTTTCTTTTCTGAATAACATGGAAAACAAAATCCTGTGAGAGATAAAGAATGTTTTGCAACAGTGTGGTGTAACTTACGTGGACAAAAAAGTGGTTGGATCATTTAGATTTCTCTCTAGTCTTCTTCCTTTTGCAGAATTTAATAGTAATGCACGGCATGGTTAGTAGAGGATGTGAACACTTCCCACAGCACCATGGTCTCCATGGGCTTTTTGCACCCCCAGGTGGGACACCTGGCTTGCTGCCGCTGGTTTCCAACTGGCAGGGGGCAGGAGCGGTTAACTCCAAAGCGGGCTGGGTCGACAGCCGAGTGCTCCCAGCCCAGGAGCAAGGTCCGGCGCATGGGGCACAAGTGGCAGCTCCCCAATACGGCATTCTCCTGTCCCTGACCTCACAGGTAGCCCTGGAGGCAGCGTGCGGTAGCTCCAGATGAAAACTGTCCCTGACTTCTTGGCAAGAATAACAGCCCCCAAAGGGACCTGGGTCTGAGCCTCAGCAAGACGCACATCGACCATGTGGATGGTGAGGGGCAAACGAAGGTTGAACCTACTTGTGCTTCCTGCTTGTTTTTAAAGGGCTCTACGAGGAAACTGTGAAGCCATCTGGTCTTCCCCTGGAGAGGTCTGGCAGCCAGTCAAAGGACGCGCGGCTAGAGGAAACATGCTCGCATTTTCTTAGTGATAATCTGGCTCAGATGCGCCGTTTCAGAAAACAAGGACTCGTGCTCTCAGCTGATGCAGATCTACATGAGGCTGAAGATAGTTCTAGAGACGCATCTTGACTTGGGCGCTAGAGTCCAGGCCTCACTTCAGCAGCTGGGCCCAGCCAGAGCGCCAGGCCTGTCACTGGGAAGTGAGAGGCTCTGTGACAGGTGAGCTAAGGGTGAATGGAGTACACCCTTGACATACTTGCTATGCTGCCAAACATCCCTACAACGGCCCCAGGAAGCAGATTTAGGCCACACACACACAGGCAAGAGTATCTGAAGGGCCAGTTAAAGGCTGGAGCAGAAAGAAGTCCCAGGAATAAAGGCAGGATTTATCCCAGCTGCCTGCGCAACAAGGAAAACGTTGGTACTTCAAGAGCTGCTGAGCGGTGGCCCAGAGAGGCCTACGTTCCTGTCACTCAACGCAAGGGAGGGAATGGTCTTCATAGGTACAAGACTAGTCATCCTAACCCTACTGGGGACCACAGTCCTCCTGTGTGACCAACCTGGCCATCATTATATACGCAGGTGTGTGTGCATACAGTAAGACAAGGGGCCCTGGAGCCAGCTCTTTGGTCCTGGAATTTTTAGGAAGGACAAAGGGAAAAGGCACACAAAAGTGACTGAACAAAAGGAGAAAAAAAAAGCAGCTGGAAGTAGAATCTCATTATTTTGCTTTCCAAGTACCTTTTTCCCCCATGAAAAGAGATTCAAAATATAAACTTTATTATTTTACATTCAAGTGAAACTTCCATCTGGGGGGCTCAACACAATTTCAGCTGCATTCAGCAATTTACCACTTGGGCGCCTTTTTAACTTAACCCGATGGAAGAACTCAGCCCTCTGTTTTTTTTAAAAAAACAGCTTTATAGTCCCAGCTGTAACACGCTATCTGTACACACGCACAGGCACACACACACAAATCCAAAAACTTCTACATAGAAAAATAAAGGATAAACATTATCCATCTATTTTATACTGTGTGCTGGAACTTTTATATACAGAATTCTCTGTTTTCTTTAATGTATTCAGTCACTGCACATTTTCTCCCCTCTCATGCGAACTGCGAGCCTGGAGACCGCTTCGGTGAGGCAGAGAAGCTACATTCTTGTCAGAGGAAGGGAGAAAAAAAGCCCTTTCTTGCTCCCCTTCTGGTCTTTCCCCACCTACCAACTTGGATATCCCTGCGGACAGCCTTCAGGTAAGCGGCTGTCCCGCTGTTCCCCTCTCTCTAAGGCATCAGGGAGCAGAGGGCCCACCCTGAAAACACCCTGCCAAAATCGCCTCAGTGTGAGGACAAGGGAACGGAAGCAGGCAGGGAAAGCCTTTTAAAAATAAAAGATTCTAGATTCACGGCCCACAGCCCATTCTTTTAGTACGGAGTTCGATTCTCCAGCTTGTGCTTGGTGAGGAAGTACTTGAAAAACTCATAGACGGACCAGGAAATGGCAGTGGAGGGCATCTGGTAGATGACGCGTGCCTGTATGCCTTTGAAGTAGCCGGGCAACCCATTGAGCTGGTACACCGTCCGAAAGGCGTTGGCCATGCCCGACAGCCGGCCGCTGATGTTGGCCAGGTTGAGGGCCACATTCTCCTGAGTGTTAAGGAGGGTCTTACAGACGTCCAGGGGCGTGGTGGCGGCCGCAGCGAGGGCCCCGGCCAGCCCACCTGAGATGATGTGGGACTGTGGGTTGTAGCCCCGGTGAGGGTTGACTTGCTCTTGCAGGAACTCGTAGGTGATGAAGTGGATGGACTGGAAGGGAATGTTCATGGTCAGCTGTGTGGTGTAGCTCCGGTAGAAGGCCCCCAGGCCCTCGGTCCTCCACACTGTCCACACGCAGCTAAGGGCCGAGCGGTGCGGTGAGTCGTACATCTGCATGCGCTGCTTGACGACTGGGGTTGGCGCCACAGGCAGGCAATGGGTTGGGACGGGCCCCACCCCAGGTCGGAGTGAAATGGGAAGCCGGGCCATAAAGAGAAACAAGCAAGTTTAGACACACTGGTAACAGGTCACCGAGAGCCAGCACACAAGCAGCCCCAGCCTGAGAAACCGGGGCAGCCCCAGGCAACTCCCCGGTTACAGAGGTGGTCCCAGGACCCAGGGCCTGGTGTCTCCTGCCTGAATCCTGTTTAAGGTGGCCCCCAAATGAGGCAGCCACTTCAGACTAGAACACTGATCTGATCCCCCGGATCCCGGAGGCCTCCAGCATTGCACCCGCCACAAAACTGAATCTCGCCCCCTGGTCTCTCTGTCCTTCTCCATCCCAGCTGCACTTGCGTCCTGTCTTTTATTCTCTGGATGTGGCCTGGACTCAGCGTTTTTAGCCTCTGTGTGTCACAGCGCTCTTTGAAGAAACACGGGAACTAGGTCAGCCCAAATTCAATGACAAAGTCAACTGCTGGTTCAAAGGTTAAGGCCAATGAACTTGAGAGCTTGAGAGTCTGAGTAGCCCCCAGGCCAAATGAACACATACGGGGTGCTCGTCTTTACTTTGAAAGAAATGAAGTCCTTAAATCAATATGTCAAAGAGAGAGGGTGTTGAACCTCACTTATTTGTTTCTCCTTTAAAAGTAAAAACAAAATTCTTGCCGGGATGATGTGGTCTAATTAAGCGATCCCTGACCAGGTCCCTGTCCACACTGCCTTAACCACATAGAAACAAAAGCCCACCTCCCAGTCTGACCCAACAAGTCCCTGAAGGTCAGAACAAGGAGTCCCTGTCTGCCAGGGCATGGGAGGCAGCTGGCAGCACATTAAGAAATTTCAACCTTAAGAGACAAAAACAGACAAACTCGTAACATAAGACTTGAAATGCTGACATTTTACCTCTGATTTTTCCCTTCTGGCAAGGGACCATTTTTAGATGGGGAGAAAGGTGTAAGGAGTCCTACGTGTCACACAGAGAACAGCCCAGCTAAGTGGCCCAATACCAGGTTCCAAATCTCCTCACTGTGCGGACCTGAGTCAACTAAGGACTCAAGTCTGCACACCTGACAACTGGTTTATAGTGCTCCCAAAACTCAAAATAAAAAGGAGAGAATGTGGGAGGAGCTGGCTAAGACAAGATGGCCAAAGGTCAATTCACGAGTAGAGTGAGGTGTCCATGGTCATTCCTGACACTCTTCTCTCTATACTTGCGTTCTCTCTACACTTGCGTTACGTTTCAAATTGTCCATAGGAATTTCAAATCTCTTTTAAAAAAGCAAATTGAACCGAAGCTCTCATGACAGGCGCACGAGTGCGCCTGTGCATATGCACATGTATACACAGGCTTTAGAGGAGTGCAAAAGAATTGCCCTAGGAGCTTGTTAAAACAGATTCCTGGGGCGCCTGGGTGGCTCAGTCAGTTGAGCATCTGACTTCAGCTCAGGTCATGATCTCACAGTTTGTGGGTTTGAGCCCCATGTCAGGCTCTGTGCCGACAGCTTGGAGCCTGAAGCCTGCTTCAGATTCTGTGTCTCCCTCTCTCTCTGCCCCTCCCCTGCTCATGCTCTGTCTTCTCTCTCTCTCAAAAAATATTTTTTTAATTAAAAAAAAAAAACATTAAAACATTCTCTGTCTATACCCCCAGAAATTCTGATTTAGCAGGTCTGAGATGGGACTCGAACTGGCATTCCTAACGTGCTCTCAGGAGATGCTGATGCTGTTGGTCCATGGATCAGAGTCCCAGTAGCTGTTTAAGAGGAACACCATAAGCTCAAAGCCCTTTCCAAGGACTTTGCTAATGTAAAGAATTCTCCTGCTTATTCTGACTGCGGCCTGAAGGTCCCCTTGACCGACCTTCTGTCCCCCCCACCACCTTTTTCCTGCCCCTTTGCAGCCCGTTCTTGCCATTCCCTGGGACCATGAAGCATTACCTTCTGCTGGATTCATTACCGCATCGTGGAGCAGGGTGGCCATACTCCCAGCTATCCCTGCAAAACAAACTCCAGAAAATTACCCTCTGGGACCGGGTGTTCGGAGGAAGTTCTTGGAACCTAAAATCAGATGCAGCCCTGCACAGCTTTCTAAGAAGCAAAATCTACGACCAGCTCCACCCAGGTGAGCACTGACTCTTCAAGATGTAAAGTAACGACCGGGTTCCTGGGGGAGATGGGGAACGTAACACAGGCACAGTTACCCACATTTTCATCCTCCAGATCTGTAGTCAATACTGGGGGAAAGGCTAGACCTGCTGATGTGGGATGGTCCCCAGAAACCACACTTCATGGCTTTCTCCATTGGAAAACTGTCCAGACTTTAATTCTTGCCCCGTCCCTCACCTTTGTCTACACACTAACTCACTCTGTCCTTGAGCCCAAAGCAATCAAAAGGAATGATATCATGTACACAGCTAAAGGAGAGAAAAAGTCAGAAAAGAAAAATTTTTTTTAAATCCTTAATCAAATCCAGGCGTTTTCATGAAAACAGGCAGGGGAAGCAGACAATCAGGAAGATCTGCATGTGGCAGATTTCCAAGGTTAGTTTGCAAAGCCTCGACTTGTCTCCGAGACGCAGACTCCCTCTGAGGCTCTCATCTGGCCTGGTGTCAAGCACCAGGCACTTCCCAAGTCTGATACAGGCCTGGAACTTTGCTTTTCGCTCTGGGTTTCCTCCTCAGGCAGATGACACTGCCCAGCCATTAAGATGAGTGCCCAGAGGCAGGAGGAATGCAAAACATCAGGAGAGCGCTCTAGAAATGCGTACACAGCCCCGTCCCCCTCTGCACACACTTACGATTACCATCAGAAAGGTCAAAATGCAACCAGCGTACATCGCAGCGAAGCAGTAACTGCACTGGGCAGAACTGTGTCCCATCAAACCCCCTCCATGGGGTTCAGTGACCAAGGGACTAAACATTACACGAGGCAGCTTCAGCAAAAGGCAAACCCTGAGGTCACAGACTCAGGGATGGCATCAGCACGTGGCCCTTAGTGCCTGTCTTAATAAATGCAACCAGGGGCCCATTTTTAAAAAGGGAAACAAATGCCTGCAAACCAGCCGGGCAGTTATTATCACCAGGGTTTGCTGATAGAAGGGATGTTCTGGGGTGCTCTTGGTAGAAAAAAAAAAGGGAAAGACTGGCAGCTGGTCACTCTACCTGTCGCTGTTGAAACATGAATTTTGTTCAAGTACACCTTACGCTTCATTCCGCAGTCCCTTTCCATACCCAAACAAAACCCGGCAAAAGCCAAACCCACAGGAGAGGTGGAAAGGGCCACTGAGCCGGGCCCAGAAAACACGTCTGTGTAGGAGCCCCACGCCAACTCCTTGCCCTCAAAACAACAAAAGAAAACTCCTCCTCCCACTGAGACCAACAACAGAAGATAATGGGGGTGAAATTCCCAAATCCCCAGAAGCTTAAGGTGGGAAAGGTCGCCTGCGCTGCAGCAAATCCTTTGTCAGCCATAAAACTTCTTGACCTTTTAAAGCTTAGTTACATCTTGACGTTGTAGAGACCTGTTGAACCAGTTTTTTTAATAGTCTCAAAGAAGCTGTCCAGATAGCTTTTTTTTTTTTTTTTTTTTTGGAATCCAGTATTGAAAAGTTTTGTTTCTATTCAGGGTTTTGTATTGTTTTTTTTCCTAGATCTGATTAATTGCTTTTGCATGTTTAAAAAAAACAAAAAAGAAAAAAGAAAACAAACTGGAAGAACCCATACAACAACGAAAACTGAAACACCTCTGTCACCGACTTCCCCCAGGCTTTAGAAAGCAAAGGAGGGGAACAGAAAAAAGCGTGTGCATGTGTGTGTGTGCGTGTGTTTGGGTGTGTGCGCACACAAGGCTCTAGAGTTCTTTATTCATAAGCAAGCGTGGCGGAGATGAGGCGTCAGGCTGCTGGGTCACAGGGAGGAGAGCCCTGGGGAAGGGTCTGTTGAAGGAGAGAGCTCTCTAACTCCAGACAAACGCTTTCAAAATACCGTTGGCTAGGTGGCTGTTTCCTTGGTGGTGGAAAACGGCATTTAAAGTCCTTTTCATGTTTTCGTAGCAGGCAAAATACATGGCATGGGCCGGGCCGGCACCCATCACCATCACGTTGAGGCCTCGCAGGGGCCTCCAGAAGCCTTCAGTCCGAATGATTTTCTTGAGGGCTCCGTAGACACTTGTGTACTGTGCTTTGGGATCTGGATTCAAACTCTGCATTCGTGTCTAGGGGAGGGTGAGAAAACAAAATGGAGGAAGTTAACAAAGATGGTGAAGAGGAAAAAGAAGACCCGGGGTGGGGAGAGTGAGAGAAAACTGCCCATTTTCAGAGTTTCACAGGATTTCTTGGTGAAGAACACATTTGTTCCCTCCTTCCTCCTTCACATACACACAGCGATTTCATTAGCCCAGCAAAGGGGGATTTGGTTGGGGGTCAGGATTTGGAATAGGCAGATAGCAAGCTGTGTGACCACTGAGGAACCCCTTAACCTCTCTGGATGTCAGGACCCCCAATTAAAAAAACAACAACAGGATTCTCACAAACATCTAATAAAATCATGTATACGAAACCCTTAAAAAACGTGGAGACCTAGTTAAATGGAAGTATTATTATCCTGTGGTTCCCACTTTGGTCCTAAAGCCTGTGTCCTCACTTATCTGGGACTTCCATGGTCTGAATGCTTCTGCCATTCAGCCCCAACCAGGAGTCTCCCAGGGGCCCTCGGGGCCTCATCCCACATCTCCTCTAAATGCACTTCTCATTTTGTCTTCCAAAGTTGGCACTTATATATGGTCTTGTCCTTAACTTCTTCCTGTGGATAGCCTTGCGTCCTTGAGGCAGAAGCTCGGCCTTCCACATCTCTGTTATCCCTTCAGACTTTCTGGGCACTTACGTTGGTGTGACAGTTAATCCACATGTCAATGCAGCAAGACCACAGTACCCACACTGGCTCCAACTATAGTTAAACAGTAGTCTAGATGTTGCTATGGAGGTATTTCTTAGGTGTAATTAACATTTAAGCCATTAAATCAGGCTGAGTAAAACAGGTAACCCTCTGTAGTATGGTGGGCCTCATCTAATCGGTTGAAAGCCCGAAGAAGAAAAACACTTGCTGTCCTCCAAGGAAGAAAGAATTCTGCCTCCAGAAAGTCTCCGCACTTGAGCTGCAACACCAACTCTCCCCTGAGTCCCCGGCTGGCCTGCCTTGCACATTCTGATTTCCCAAGCCTCCATAATAATCACATGAGCCAATTCCTTCCCCATTCACACACACTCCCCCCACCATCTCTCTCCTGGCTTGGTCTCTCTGGAGAACCCAATATCTCCCAGGTGGAAGACCCAGTCCTGCAAAAGCAACAGACAGCAATGCCTTCCTCCACTCCCCTCAGCACACACAGCCCAGAGGAGAGGGTCTCCCATCGTTAGCAGGGATGCCCTTCTACCACACCAGGCAGAATCATACCCAAACCTAATACATAGAACTGAAGAAGAATTTCTCTAGTTGAGAATGGGGTGAAGGGCCCTGGGCCCTCCTCTCAACTCCAAAGCAGAGACACCCCTACCTCCCCACCCAGCAACTCAAGGGCTCAGAGGAACAGTGTGAAAACCAATGATCTAAATTAACACTCATATGTGGAAGTTAAGAAACAAACGCATGAACAAAGAAAACAAAAAAACAAAAACAAAACCAGACTCTTAACTATAAAGAACAAACTGGCATTTGCCAGAAAGCAGGTGAGCAGGGGATGGGCGAAATAAGTGGTGGGGATGAAGTAGTGCACTTATCGTGATGAACACTGAGTAATGTGTGGAAGTGTTGAATCATTATATTGAACACCTGAAACTAATATAACACTGTGTTAATTACACTTGAATTAAAAAATATTTTTTTAAAATTAGTAGTCATTTCGGATATCGTATGTTTTCACTCATCTGTGGAACAGGAGAAACTTAGCAGAGAACCATGGGGGAGGGGCAGGGGAAAAATAGTTAAGGAGAGGGAGGAGGGCAAACCACAAGAGACTCTTAAATACTGAGAACAAACTGAGGGCTGATGGGGGTGGGGGAGCGGCAAAGAGGGTGATGGGCATGGAGGAGGGCACTTGTTGGGATGAGAACTGGGTGTTATATGGAAACCAACTTGACAATAAACTATATTTTTAAAAATAAATAAAAAATAAAATTAATAGTTATTTTCAGATTTCATAAGCTCGTATAATTATTGGCAACTTTTCATTTCGCCAAGAAAGGACATAAAACAGTGATAACATGAGTGACAATCACCACTGCACTCTATGAGAATCATTTTCTACAAGAAAAGACATTCTTTAATGTTTTTTTGTTTATTTATTTTTGAGAGAGAGAGGCAGCATGAGCCGAGGAGGGTCAGAGTGGGAGACACAGAACTCGAAGACAGGCTCCAGGCTCTGAGCTCGCTGTCAGCACAGAGCCTGATGCGGGACTCGAACCCACAAACCGTGAGATCATGACCTGAGCCGAAGTTGGACATTCAACCGACTGAGCCGCCCAGGTGCCCCAAGAAAAGACATTTTTAATGCTTAAAAAAAAAAAAAAAACCAAAGACTACTTCTGATCATAAAACTGTCCTTTAAGTTAAATTTAGCTTTATCAAAAGTTCACCACTTTATCCCACTGAAAATACCTGCTGGCCCGGCCAGGATGGCTGCCAGACACTGGGGCCCACATTCCAGGGGAGTGCCAGGTGGGACTGGATGGGGTCCATACCCCTGTGCCTTTCTGTTTGTGTTTTAGTCTAACATGTTTCCAAAAGAATCTGAAGGGGCTTAATAAGGGAGGATACATTATAACAAACAAGGGCAAGGGAAGAAGCATGCGTACTTGTCAATGAGGAGGGCACCTGACTCGCAGGGGTGAAGCCTCCGCCTTGCTCAGAATGAACTACGGGAAATGCAAAGCGTTTACTCTGGAAGAAGCAGCCTTGCTTCTCCAAGGACAACAGAGGTTATCTAGAACTAAATTCTAAAAGCAATTCTAGAGCAAAGAAAGCTTTGCTCCCTGGCTTCTCCGTACAACTGCCCCAGATAAAAAGCTGGAGCACGATGCAGGAGGCGGTAGAGAGAGAACAGGGATGGGATTCAGATTCTATCATTTCCATGTGACCCTGGGCAAAAGGGTTAACCTCTCCAAGCTTTTGTTTCCTCCTCTGACAAAATGGTTAAGAAAATTAGACATCTACGACCATCATTACTTTTAATAACAAAGGCTGCATCAGGAGGCTCAGTAATGTGGTTCTAGTATATAATGTGCAGAAGTCTAAGCTACATGGTGGGGTGGTGGTGTCTGTGTCTTCAGTATACCTATGACACCTATTATGGTATCTAAATCACACTGGGGGCCCAACAAGTATTTGTTGAACGAATGGATGAACAAGCAAATGTGTGCAACTAAGGGTACCAATTGGGACGATGGGGTTTTTCTCTTCTCTCACTGCCCCTAAAATATGAGTAGCTTTCCTGGAGTTACGTGTTCCTCCCACCAACCTTTCTCTGTTTGTTTGTTTGTTTGTTTGTTTGTTTGTTTTTAAATTTTAGAGAGAGAGAGGAGAGCACAAGTAGGGAAGAGTGGCAGGGGGAGCGGGGGGACAGAGGGAGAGAAAGAGAAAGACAAAGAGAAAAAGAAAGAGAAAGAGAGAGAGAATGAATCTCCAGCAGGCTCCACACTCAGCATGGAGCCCAGCACATGGCTCGATCCCATGAATGCTGAAATCCTGAACCAGGCCAACATCAAGAGTCAGATGCTCTGAGCCACCCAGGGGCCCCCATCCTTTCCCTATTGATAACAACAATCCTGCCACTCCCATTCCCAGAGGAGAGATCTTTGGGGAGGGACTCCAGAACTGGTTCTCCAACCTCCCCCCCACCCCCCCACCCTGGCCCTAATCTCTGGCCTTGGGCAGCAAGGCTAGCCTGTGGTGAAGGCCCTCCTTGGGTCCTAGTGGGTAGCCCCTTACAAGCAGGGGTGGCAGAGCGAGAAAACACACAGGACCCGGGGGGAGGAGCTGAGTGGCTGGATCCCGGCCCCAATACGGGCTCCAACAGACCCAAGTGGCCTCGGCTATGGCATCTCATCTCCCTGGTCCCCAGTGTCCTCAACTGGAAAATTCAGGAGACAATCAGAACAGTGGCCGATTACCAGAATCACCAGGAAATGTTTGAAATGTCCTTCTGGGCACCACTCCAACACACTGATTCAAGACTTTTTTTAACTCCCCAGATGATTCTGGTCATCGCTTAGTTTGGAGAACCACTAAATAAAGGGCTCTCTCAGCCCTAGCACTTTCTAGTAACATTCTGTGTCCAGCCTTGGCTGAAAGGCAGGCACCTGGGTTAAGTGAGGGGGGCGTGGCTGGGGAGGCAGTGTGTACAGAGGGGAGCAGAGGCAGGAAGCTTTAGGGCCAGCCAATCCGACATTGCCGGTCTGAATTCCAACTCAGGGACCTCAAGCAGGTTCCTCAAGGTTGGGGCATGGAATAATCCCCCAGGGAGCTGTGGCAGGCAGAGTGAGGTAACTGTGGGCATGATGTGGCTCAGGTTGGCAGGTAACCATGACCGTCCCCTCTCCCACCCATCCTTTCCACACGTGATGATGTCGGGAAGGTTTCTCCCTTACAAAGCCGCTCACAGAGGACAGCTCTCGAAGACTTACAAGGGAAATTCAGGGTTGATTTCTCACCTCTCCCTTTTTAAGGGGGTGAGGCAAGTGGAGTAAGTATTACTGAACCAAAATGCACCACCTCCTGCGGAAAAGGAAAGGGCAACTGGGTATCTCTGCACACTCAGTAGATTTCTCTGTTCTGGGGGCCCGGGGGTTGACTCAAAGAAGGCCACGTTTAATGACACATACTTGGGACAGAGGCAAGTGACCTCTGAGCATGGAGGAGGACACAGTCAAGGCCCCTCTGGGCCCACCATGGCCAAGTTCAGGGTCAGAGCCACTTCAGTCCTATAGCACCTTCATCTCTTCAACCTGCCCACGGGGACAACCCACCACCGATCAGGCACCAGGGTGCAGAAAGGAAAGGTTGATGGGGGAAGTAAAGAACAAAGAATGCTCTGTCAGTTAAGCGTCTGACTTCAGCTCAGGTCGTGGTCTTGTGGTTCATGGGTTTGAGCCCCGCGTCAGGCTCTGTGCTGACAGCTCAGAGCCCAGAGCCTGCTTCAGATTCTGTGTCTCCCTCTCTCTC